GCTCGATGGCGAGGAGATGTACGAGGGTGAGGCCGTTGAGAAGGCGAACGCTGCGAGACAGAACATGCTCGCGAAGGCCAGTGACGTTTCCCAGGTGGACATGGCGGCCGTGTTGCGAATCATGGAGGGCGGCGGCGCTGCCGCGCCAGACAGCTCTGCTGGTTCCGACTCCGAGGACGACGACAAGGTCGACAACGCGTTGGAAGATTGCGATCCGATGCAGGCGTTCCTGGGCGAACTTAGCCCCCACCCCATCCTCCTCCTTCTCCTGCTGCCGCTGCTGCTGCGCCTGCCCCTCCTCCTCCTCCTTCTCCTCCTCCATCTCCTCGCTGTTATCCTCCTCTCGAAGATCCTTCAGACGCAGAGCGGCGAGGGGTCAGGCGCCGCTTGATCTTTCCAGTCGTCTACGCGATGTCGGCATCTTGGCGCCCTCTTTGGAAAGGGGCCCCGTGGCCGCGCGGGACCTCCCAGGGCGGACGTCGGGGCCCCGCGCGCCCGCCCCCCCTCGCCCGCAGGCCTTCGATGTTAAAATGCTGGATCCATTCGGCCCCCCAGGCAATCTTCAGCTCCTACGGCAAGCCCGGCGGCAACCCCAAGGTTGCGGCTGGCGCCCCCGCCCCAGCTCGCGCTGCCGCTCGCAGCGGCGGCGGCAGCGGCGGCGGCGGCGGCGGCGCCCCCTCGCGCGCCGCTGCGCGCGGCGGCAGCGGCGGCGGCGGCGGCAGCGGCGGCGCGCCTTCGCGCGCGGCCCCGCGCGCGGTCATCAGGGGCGGCGGCGGCGGCGGCGGCGGCGCTCTTTCGAGCGGCGCCGCCCGGGGCGCCAGCGGCGTCGGCGTCGGCGCCGGCGCGCGCAAGATGACAGTTCTTTCCCGCATCCAGGCTCTGACGGGAGGTGGCGCCGACGGAAAGGATCGACTAGGCGCCAGAGTGACCTTTCGCCGGAGTGACCTCTGGCGCGGGCCCAACGGGGTTCCCCGATCGCCGAGCGCGAGGCGGCAGCGGCGTCTTGCGCGCTTGTGTTTGCCCCCCCCGCGGACCCCAGAAAGCCGCGCGCCAAAGGTCACTCTTGCCCAGGGTCACTCTTGCGCGTAGTCGAAAGGATGGCGGACCCCCCAAGTCTGACGCGCGGGATGCGCCCTCGGTGCGGTACGACCCTGCCAAGGATATCCAGTGGGAGGGCTCCATGAAGGAAAAGATCAGCAAGCTCGCCGACTTCGATGGCTTGGTCTTTATAGATCCTCGTTCTCAGCAGGGCTTGACAGACATCGCCAAGGCGGGCAGTTGCGTTGACGCCCCTTGTCGAGCGCCTGCGGGGTAGAGGGGTCAGGGCCGCGCAGATCAGCTTTCAGTTTGTTCGGCGCGGCGCTGCACTCCCCCAGCCACGCAGCCCGCGCTTCGAACGGGGGGCGACGACGCGCGTGTCTCAGAGGCCCTCGCCCCCAGGAAGAAGGAGGCGCAGGCCGTGAGCGCCGCCATGGGGGTCAAGATGAAAGCGGCTGCCTGGAAGAAGAATGCGCCAGAGAAGGCGCAGACTTCGTGCGCCCGTTTGAAGGAGAAGTGCGATACTATATTCAAGCTGTGCAAGTACATGTCCCAGGCCTTCATCACGGACCCAGAAGTGTTCCACGAGGTTCTGATGTGCATGGACAGCGAGTTCAATATTCAGGTTCCCGCTTGCTGTCATCTGCACTCCTTGCGATTCAGCGCACTTCACGAGGCAGAGCTGATGAACGTCGAGAAGTTCGTTAACACCCTGCTTCTTTCCAGCAGGCGGATGATGATTCTCATCGAAGGCGGCGCCGTGGACACTACCCACTTGGAAGAGTTCGTCTCTGGGATCGTCGAGTCTCTCGCTTGCAAGTTCCTTAGCAAGGTGTCGGTGCAGCACGTGGAGGCCGACGACGGGGCGTGCCTGGACATTGACAACCCGTTGGGCCGCTTGCGAGCATTTCACAGCATCGTCGCAGCCAGCACCGACGTGCAGGAGGTCAAACGGGGCTGCCGCTTCGCGAGCGCCATCTTGGCGCCGGCGCAGGTGCGCCCCGAGCTCTGTTGAACGACCTTCTCGGGAGTTAGCCAGTCTTCGGCCAGGGGCTCGCGGGTGATCATTGGGCGCGCTTTGGGCCCTTTTGGATAATTTTCGGCCCCTGGGCCCACCGCTGCAGGCCCCTTTCTCTCTGTTTGCTTTGTAAAACTCAGAAATAGAATCCTGTCCGTCAAGCGCAGCCCTGCCTTGCCGTTTTGGCGGCTTTGCGGGGGCGTGGTGGTGGTGGTGGTGGGGGGGGGGGGCGTCGAGAGCGTCGTCAGCGTTTATCATGTGGCGGGGAGGTGTTCAAATCGAACGGCGCGATCCCATGGCATTGCATTATGTTTCGGGGCGTCCTCGGGGTCCATTGCGGCCATGTTGGAGCTATCTCGAGTTCTCTTCTCACGAGCAGCGCCCGCTCGGATGCGGGCGGATGCCCCCCAGCCCGTTTTCGCGCCCACCCCCCGCCCGCCGCCCCCGCGCCTCGCGCCCCCTCTTCCCCAATCCACCACCCGCCCACCGTCCATCCATCCACCGCCGCCCATCCGCCACCCACCCACCACCCATCCACAACCTGCCCGCCCGCCCGCCACCCACCCGCCCACCCGCCCACCACCCGCGCCAACGTTGGGCGGGCCACTGTAATCAACGCAGGACGGGCCACTGGAATCAACATAAGACGGGCCAGTTGAATTTGCGTAAAACGGGCCACTGGAATCAACGTGAGACGGGCCAGTTGAATTCACTAGGACGGGCTATTGGACTTCGGTCACGTAATTTCGGCCACGTTCGGGCGTCAGAGTACTCGCGCAAAGCGGGCCAGTTGGATCAACGTAAGACGGGCCATTTGAATCCACATGAGACGGGCCAGTGGAATCAAGGTTAGACGGGCCACTTGAATTCGCATGAAACGGGCCGCTGGAATCAACGTAGGACGGGCCATGAGAAATAGGTCACGTAATTTTGGCCACGCTCGCAGGACAGAGGGTTTTGTCTTCAAGGGGTTGGATTGACGAGGCGTCAGAGCATTCGCGCAAAATTTGCCACTCGGACCAACGCAAGACGGGCCACTTGAATTCACATAAGACGGGCAACGCAAGGGCGTCAGAGCATTTACACGCAACGGACCAGTTTGATCAACATCAAGCAGGCCATTTGAATTCGCATGAGACGGGCCAGAGGAATCAACGTAAGACGGGCCATTTGAACTCACGTAAACAAAAGCCACTGGAAGCACCGTAAAACGGGCCACTTGCATCCACTATCGACGGGCCATTGGAATTAGGTTACGTAATTTCGGCCACGTTCGCAGGGCAGGCTTCTGTCTTGCAGGGGTTGGATTGTCGGGGCGTCCGAGCATTTGCGAATCTCGGGCCAGTTGGATCAGCATCAGACGGGCCATGTGGATTCGCATGAGACGTGCCACTGGAATCGACGTAAGACGGGCCATTTGAATCCACATGAAACGGGCCATTGGCATCAACATAAGACGGGCCACTTGAATTCGCAATCGACGGGCCACCGTAATCAGCATAATAGAAGCATGCCAAGTACTTTCGTTTCGCGCCCCACTTGGCCCCAGAAGGTCCACCGCGGCTGCCGGGATGCTCCCCCGGGGCTCCGAGAGTGGCTCACATTCACATGTGCATCTAGGTTTTTGCATTTTCTCGGGCGTCGTGTGCGCCAATGAGGTCCCGATGATGGATCGGTCCTCTTCCTTCTCCTCGTCTTTCCTGCTTATCCCCCTGATTTTCCCCTGGGGCCCGCCAGCGGCCCCGAACTGGGTTGAGATCCTCGTTCTGCTTTTCGGCTGGCCTGGGCCCAGGGCCATTGCCCTGATTCCGTTAATGGCCGGCGATGTTTTTTAGTTGGTACCGATGTTTGTGCCGATGCCGATGCCTCCACTTCCCACTTACAGCTCCTCGTCCTCCTCCTCCTCCTCCTCCTCCTTCTCCTCCTCCTCCTTCTGGCCTCCTGCATCCGCGTGCTAAGAGTGAAGGCCCTCCGCCCATAGAGCGCCAGGCAGTGCAGAAACAGCGAGTGCAATTATATTTTGCTCGTGCAGATGAGGGGCGCTTCCCTCGGGCAGCCTCGGAAGGTTGCAGCAGGACGCCTGCTGCTTCTAGCTCTCTCTCCCCTTCGTCTTCTTCCTCCTCGTCCTCTTCCCCTGTCCACTAGCAGCACTAGCGGTGCTTGTAATTCGTTTTTCGGGGGTCCCATTTCGGGCCTGCTCGTCTTCCTCCTTGGGGCGATGTGCCTTGTTGTGGGATGGTCGGCACGCGAGAACCTGGCGTCCGGTTGCGGGTGTTTCGGGGTTCGGTGCCATGGCCGCGGCTTGGGGCCGCTCCTGCTCCATCCAGCAGGATCTCTCCAGGCCGGTCTTCGGCGTTTCTGGGAATGTCGTTGCCTTTGGGTAGGTTGGGACATGCGGAGAGCGAAGAAAGTGCGGCGCGGTGCGTGCGTGGGGGGGACGGCGCGAGGCTGCCTCCAGCATTCGCAGAATGGGGCCACCCTTCGCTCGCGGGGTCGGCGGGCAAATTCTTAAAATCTAGCTTGTTCGAGCAAGTCAAAGCATCGGCATTGGTCCCGTGTGATGCGATGTTGTTCCCCTCCCCATCGGCCGGTGACCTTCCATGGTCTTCGGCGGCCTCCGCGAGGTCACCGGCCGAGGGGGGGAAAACGCAGCGTCGCATCACGCGGGGCCGATGCCAATGCTTCGCCGACTCTTCTTCGCGAAGCACATCAAAATATTGCGGAGTCGGTGCTCGTAACCCCTTCCGTGCGACGGGCGCTCAAACTGTTGCAACGACGGCGCGAGTCAACGTAGAGGGTAGGTCAACGGGGGCAGCTTGGCAGCAGAAAGACAAGGCAAGAAATCGGCAAGTCGGGCGATAGGATGGTGGCTTGGGCGGCAGGACTGGATGGGTGAGGGGGGTGAGAGGAGGCGGGTTGCGCTTCTGCATGCTGTATTCTGGAGGTGGCATTCGAGGATTTGAACGGCGCTCTGAAGCAGGTCGTGTCCGATGCCCCCGGCGCCTTCCTCAAACCTTTCGTTGCTGGCGGGGCCCCGCAGGCTTTGTTGGCGAAGGCTGCGGGAGTGTTGGAGGCTCGCGAGAGAGAGCAACTGAGCCTGAAACAGATCGGCACTACACGCGCATCCATTGAGGCCCTGGAGGCAAACGCCATCAACGATGACGAGGTGTTAGCCACGCTAGCCGTCGTCAAATCGTCGCTGGCGGAAGTGCGCGCCGATGTAGAGAAGAATGCCGCGCCGGCCGCCATCCTCGATCAAATTTCTGACCTGGATGAGCGCTTCCAGCTCGCAGGGCGCAGACTCGTCATGATGGAGATCGCTTCGGACTTCGCCAGTGCTGCGGCGACCTGGTGCGATGAGGTACGGTCTTCGGGTGCTTCGGAAATCATGCTGGACCCCCCGGGCGCCATGGAGGTCGCCGAGGATGGTTCGGCCAGGAAAGCACTTCTCGGTACGCTTGCCAATGTGCTGTCGCCTAGGATGTTGGAGGAATGTGGAATTTGCTACGATGCACAGGTCGCCTTTGCCAATCTGACTTCCAGCGCTCAGCGCCCAGCGCTGGAGTCTGCGAAGCTCTTGCGGCAAGTCAAGAGCGACATCATCGCACATCGCAAGTTGTTGCAAGACGTTTTCTTGGTGATGCTGCCAGACGACTTCGAGCAGCTAGTTGCCCAGGTGTTCGGGAAGGACGTGCAGGCCGAGTGGGTCACAACAGCCCGGTCGTTTTCGGAGATGATATTCCCCGTTCTCGTGAAGGGCGAAGCTGCGTCGGGCGCAGAGAAGCGCATCCTGGACGCGTCCACCCACGTGCAGCGGCTGCTGACGTCCGAAGTGATAGCTCTTGGGACGAAACCAGACGGTTCGGCTGAGACCCCTTCGGAGTACGTCGTTGTCTTGCTCGCGATGGTCGGCGTAGCCACGGCTAGCTCAAAGCTGGCGCGCATCGCAGCGGACTTGGAGTTGAAGCCGCTGGACTCCGCCCGCGCCCTGAAGATCCTCGACGCGAGCTCGAACGCACTCCTCATGACAGTTCGCGGCCAATGGAATGGCGTCGACTTGTCGCCAGAGAAGGTCGACGAAACCATGGGCTGGGCTTGCCGCGTGGTGGACGATGGCGGCGGGAACTCCGCTGAACTCCTGGAAGGCTCTCCGCCTGGACCCTGGGGCGCCATCGTTGCAGCAAAACTGAAGGAAGTGGAGAGCCTCTACGACTCCCGCGTCGCAGCCGTCACTGAGATCATGCAGAAGGTGTCCTCGAGCCTCGCAGACATGAAGGCCGCGTTGCCAGACCTCCAAGATACCCCTGACAGTATGACCGCCTTCACGAAGGCCGCATTCGACGCGTCCTTGATCAAGAATGCCGAGGTTGCCTTGAAGGAGTTTACCAAGGCAAAGGCAGCCGCCCTCCAGATCGGCATTGGCGATCACGTCTACAGTCCGACAGAGAATGAGCTAGGGTTTGTCCGTGGTAGGGTGGCTTGCGTGTCCGCCATTTGCCCGCTGCAGAATCCGAAAATCACCAGCAAGGACAAGAAAGGCAGGGCGCTGCAGAAACAGCTGGAGGCTGTGGGCAAGCTCATTGCCCAGAACACAAAGACCTATGACTCGGCTGTCCCCAAGTGGCTGGTGGGCCGCATCAAAGTCGCGGAGAGCATGTAGGGCCGCGCTTCGACTTGCACGTTTGTGATCGAACTGCCTCCGGCAACGACGAACGCCCGCATAGCCTCTGAGAGCCCGCGAGGGCACCGAGACGGGCCATGGGGGCCCTCTGAGGACCTTCGCGAGCCGCTTCGGGGCCCTCGCGGGCAATCTTCGGGCCTTCTCTGGCAACCCGTGGAAAGACTCGCGGTTTCTTCCGACGACGCGCAGGCGGTCTCATCAAAACGCTGTTTTTTTCATGGGACCCCCAGGGGTCCAGCTGATGCCATCCCAGAAGGAAGATGGTTTGGCGCGTCATGGAGGTTTCCTTGTCGGCATTGGCGCCCTCTCGGGCCGCCGCGGAGCCCTGTCGGGCGTTTCCCGGGCCTTCCCTGGCAGCCCGTGGGGGCCGACAACGTGCGGGCGGTTTTATCATCATAACGGCGATTTGATTCAAATCGTAATGTTTGGTAAAGACCCCCGGGGGCCCAGTCGATGCCGCCCCAGGGCTCTCCGGGGCCTCCCTGGGTGCCCAAGTGGGCCCCGAGTCGGGCTGGGGGGCATCCTCGAGGCTTCCTAGGAGATCATTCAGAAACAATCCTTGCGGTAAGCTAAAGGCATTCAACGCGCCCCAACGTGCGAAGGTACGGTGGCGGATTCTGGGCCGGGCGCACGCAGCGCTGCGCGGGCAGCGTTGCGGAGGCAGCGCATCGCACAGGGCAGCGGCGGTGATGTTGAGCCCAGGCTGGCGTCGTTGAGCTATCTCTGACACAGACGCAGACTCGACTCGGGGGAAATCGTTCCGCGCTCATTTGAGCCCTTCTTGGGGGCCCTTGGGACTTCGAAAAGCGTCAGCGAAGGCTCAGGCAGGCTCGAGGAGTGACCTCCAGAGGCTCAGGCAGGCTCCAGCTGCAAGAACGCGCATCGCGTGCATGTCGTGGGATCTGCGGGCCCAGTGACCACGACGCGCGCGCGACGTGCGCCCTCGACCACCCTGCGTGCCCTCCCGGGGCCCTTTCCAGCGCCCGACGGCCCCCCCCCCGTTGGGCACGCGAAAAACGCAGGCGCAAACTCGAGCAGGCCCCAAGAGCGGCCGCCATCGGATAGCACGAGCCCGTCCCGCGCGGCCGATGAGGGCCTCCGCGAGGGCCCGACTGTCCTTTTGACGACGTTTCTTAAAGAACCCCGTTTCGCTTGAGTTTGGCGGAGTTTGGCGCAATGCGTTTTAAATGTGCCCGGGGGCCCTCGGCGGCCTGGCCCTGAGCATGGGCCGCGTCGGGATGCCAGAGATGGCGCCTCGTCGGCCTCTTCAGGGCCTCTGGGGCGCAGCCTTTCGGGGCCGCCGACGCGCGGGGGGGGGGCGCGGGGGCCTCTGTCATGCTCTGGCGCTTCTGAAGGTTCATATCGGCGGAGGCCGCGTCGTGATTTCATGCCACTGCCGCTGCATATCGGCCTGAGGACATCAGATTTTCAGGCTCATACTCGCGGCGGTCTGACTTTCGAATATCAGGATGGGCAAACGGGCCGCCCATGATGCGCGCGAGGCCAGCGCCCCCGCCCCGTGGGCCATGGGCGCCGCCGACGCGGCCAAGTCCAAGACGGCCAAGGTGCAGGTTTCCCTTGAACGCGTTTTCGCTTCATATGCCATTGGCGATCGCCCCCATGCGGAGCCAGGGGGCGGGCCTGCGCAGGCGGAGTCGCCCCCGGGATCATCGGCGGAATCATCGGCCGAGTTTGAGGGCGCATCGGCCGAAGCCGCTGCGCCTATCGCGCAGGCGAGCGCCCGCGTCGCGGGCGCCGGCGGAAGCTGGTCCCGCGTGCTGTTGGCCAAGGGGTCCAGCAGCGCCTCGATGGGGGCGGCGCAGGGCGACGCTTGCGGAAGCGAGCCTGCTCCATCGCAGGCGGTGGCAGCATCGGCGCGGAAGTTATGCATTCACTTATCCGAGGCTTCTGTGGCTTCGGAGGCTCCGCAGAGGGTTGCTATTGGCAGCGGCGCCACCCTGCTCGATGATGCGTGCTCGCACTACGCCGCGCAGGTCACCTCGCAGCTTTGGAAGGACCTGGCCGGGCAGTCGGACCGCTTCCCGCAGGTGTTTGACATCGGCTCCGCTTGCTCAGGCACCGACGTCTGGGGCTTCGCCGTGGAAAGCATCTGCAGCTTGATATCCAACAGGACGGGAGGATGCCTCAACTCACGAGTTTCATTCGTATGCGAAAGCGACAGGAACAAACAGCAGTTTTTGATGCACTTACCCACCGTGCAGAATAACCACGATTGCTGCGTTTTTGACGACATCCACGAGCTCCCCAGCGGCAGTGGAGCATGTCGGCGCCACGGCGCTGATGGTGAGAAATGCAAAACCAAGTTCTGCCACGCCTTTGGGTGCGGCTTCTCTTGTACGGCGGTGAGCCACGCAAATTTCCATTGTCGCGAGGCTGCTGGTGCAATGCGGTCGGGCTCCAACGCGACCGCCGACACCTTCCGGTCCACCCTTGGCTACATGTCGCTCATGCGGCCTTGGCTGGGCGTCGTGGAGAACAGCGACAGCCTCGACGACATCCCTGGTGGCCACGACGCAGACCCGCTCGCTGCCCAGGAGAGCAACCTGAAGCAGTGCCGGGACATGTTGAAAGAGGCAGGGTACGCAACCTTTGCAGTCTTGTGCAACTCGAGGGATTTTGGCGTCCCACAGGACAGGAAGCGGATATACTTGGGCTGCGTCGCCATCGAACTGTACCAGTTCAACGTGGGCCTCGCGTTCAAAGGGGCGCAGCTGATGGGGGACGCCATGAGGACCATGCGGATCGAGGACGGCCCGGTGACGCTCGAGAGTCTCCTTTTAGACGACGACGACGAGTTGGTGCAGGGTGAACTCCAGCACTGGTTGAGGACGAGGGCGGCCAGCAAGGACGTGGACATGAAGGACGAGTCCTGGCAAGAGCGTCACCAGGAGGAGTATGCCAAGCGCGGCCTTCGTTGGGGGCACTTGCAGCCCAGACCCGAGGTGAAGGCATCGCCGTGGTACGCGGCGCTGACCCCGCGGGAGCAGGACCTACTTGTTTTCGTAAGCCACGCCGAGCCAGCGGCGAAGTCTGTGGACCTGTCCCAGAGCATCGGGCGCCATCGCAGCAACATGTCTGACTCCATGCTGGGGGCCATCTTGCCGAAGGAGATGCGGTGGTTGTTCAGCCGCCAGCGGCTTCTGACTGGATGCGAGTGCTTAGGGTTGCAGGCGTTTCCCTGGCAAGACGTGGAGTTAGGAAACAGCGACGTTGCCACGCTGCATTCTCTCGCAGGGAACGCCTGGACTGGCACTATTGCCCAGGCTATGTTTCTCAGCATGGCCATGCGTCTCCCGTGGCCAAAGGCGCAGTCGGGCGAGGGCCCAGGCGCCGACGATGAAGACGGGGATAGTAGCAGCGACTAGCCATTCTTGCTCCCGGATGTCATCATTGTGCAGACCTTTTGCCCTAGTTAGCCCAGGATAGCAGCCATTGGCGGACCTGCACCATGGAGACCGAGAGTGCCAATGGGAGAACAAAAGAACGCAGGGGTCCAGGGGGCCCTCGGCTTTCGAATTGCAGGGTGGTCTTTTTCACAGAGCGGGTGCGCCGGGGAGAACCCCGACACCGTTTTCACAGCCAGAGCTCGCCATGCATGGGTCCAATCGGTGCCAAACACATTTGGTAGAGTTGCAAGGGCAACTTAGTGATGATGAGGAGGGGGAGGGGGGGGAGGAGGAGGAGGAGGAGGAGGAGGAGGAGGAGGAGGAGAGGAGGAGGAGGAGGAGGAGGAGGAGGAGGAGGAGGAGGAGGAGGAGGAGGAGGAGGAGGAGGAGGAGGAGGGAGGAGGAGGAGGAGGAGGAGGAGGAGGAGGAGGAGGAGGGGAGGAGGAGGAGGAGGAGTGAGGAGGAGGAGGAGGAGGAGGAGGAGGAGGAGGAGGAGGAGGGAGGAGGAGGAGGAGGAGGAGGAGGAGGAGGAGGAGGAGGAGGAGGAGGAGGAGGAGGAGGAGGAGGGAGGAGGACGCGCGCTCCAGGGGAGTAGGGAGGGGACGCGCGCATCAAGGGAGAGGTTGAGGAGGAGGAAGAGGAGGAGGAGGAGGAGGCGCAGGAGGAGGAGGAGGAGGAGGAAAAGGAGGAGGAGGAGGAGGAGGAGGAGGAGGAGGAGGATGAGGAGGAGGAGACGCGCGCCTCAAGGGGAGGAGGGAGGAGACGCGCGCCTCAAGGGGGACGACGGGGAGGGCGCTCTCGACTCTGGAAATCCAAGGGAGGGCCAAACCAGGCACAAAGACGGGGGGCCCCGCGGGCATGGCCCTGGGGCTTCGCCGTCGAAAATGGGTTGCGCGGCCCGCCCCGACGGCCCCAACCGGGAGGGGCTTGGGCGCGTGCCCAGGGCGCGGGACGCCTGTGAGGTGTTTCTATCTCACGGGCCTCGGCGCCCCCGATGATGATGATGATGATGATGATGATGATGATGATGATGATGATGATGATGATGATGATGATGATGATGATGATGGTGATGGTGATGGTGATGGTGATGGTGATGGTGATGGTGATGGTGATGGTGATGGTGATGGTGATGATGTTGTTGATGATGATGATGATGATGATGTTGATGCTGATGCTGATGCTGATGATGCTGCTGCTGATGATGCTGATAATGATGCTGATGCTGATGCTGATGCTGATGCTAAGGCTGATGCTGATGCTGATGATGATGACGATGATGATGATGATGATGATGATGATGATGATGATGATGATGATGATGATGATGATGATGGTGGTGATGATGATGATGATGACGATTATGATGATGATGATCATCATCATGATCATGATGAGGATGCTACTGCTGCTGCTGCCCCCGATCGTCTGACGGGTGCCGTGTGCCCTTTTTGACCTCCAAGTCGACAGCAAAAGGGCACCGTGCCCCCGATCGTCTGACGGGTGCCGTGTGCCTTTTTTGACCTCCAAGTCGACAGCAAAAAGGCACCAGACCCCCCCATCGTCTGACGGGTGCCCGGTGCCCTTTTTGACCTCCAAGTCGACAGCAAAAGGTCACCGGCCCCCCCCCCATCGTCTGACGGGTGCCGTGTGCCTTTTTTGACCTCCAAGTCGACAGCTAAAGGTCACCGGGCCCCCCCGATCGTCTGACGGGTGCCCGGTGCCCTTTTTGACCTCCAAGTCGACAGCAAAAGGTCACCGGGCCCCCGATCGCCTGACGGGTGCCCGGTGCCCTTTTTGACTTCCAAGTCGACAGCAAAAGGTCACCAGACCCCCCCGATCGTCTGACGGGTGCCCTTTTTATTTTCCAAGTCGACAGCAAAAGGGCACCGGGCCCCCGATCGTCTGACGGGTGCCCGGTGCCCTTTTTGACCTCCAAGTCGATTGCAAAAAAGCACCAGACCCGGCCCCCCCCCATCGTCTGACGAGTGCCCGGTGCCCTTTTGGACTTCCAAGTCGACAGCAAAAGGGTGCCCGGTGTTTTTTTTGACTTCCAAGTCGATTGCAGAAATGCACCAGACCCCCCCATCGTCGTCTGACGGGTGCCCAGTGCCCTTTTGTCTTCCAAGTCGACAGCAAAAGGTCACCGGGCCCCCCCGATCGTCTGACGGGTGCCCGGTGCCCTTTTTGACCTCCAAGTCGACAGCAAAAGGGCACCGGACCCCCCCCATCGTCTGACGGGTGCCCGGTGCCCTTTTTGACCTCCAAGTCGACAGCAAAAGGTCACGGGGCCCTCCCCATTTTCTGACGGGTGCCCGGTGCCTTTTTTGACGTCCAAGTCGACAGCAAAAGGTCACCAGGCCCCCCCGATCGTCTGACGGGTGCCCGGTGTCCTTTTTGACCTCCAAGTCAACAGCAAAAGGGCACCGGGCCCCCGATCGTCTGACGGGTGCCCGGTGCCCTTTTTGACCTCCAAGTCGAGAGCAAAAGGGCACCGGGCTCTCCCGATCGTCTGACGGGTGCCCGGTGCTTTTTTTATTTTCCAAGTCGACAGCAAAAGGTCACCGGACCCCCGATCGTCTGACGGGTGCCCAGTGCCTGTTTTGACCTCCAAGTCGATTGCAAAAAGGCACCAGGCCCCCCCCCCATCGTCTGACGATTGCCCGGTGCCCTCTTCGACCTCCAAGACGACTGCAAAAGGGTTGCTGCTGCGCCTCTTCCTCCTCCTCCCCCTCCTCCTCCTCGCTTTTCTCGTCCGTTTTGCTCAAGTGCGCGGTTGTAGTCGGACCTGGACGAAGGACAATTTTTGCAGCGCCGTCTTGCGCACCGCACGGCTTGGTTTACGCTGGCGGCATGCTGTCGAATGCCATGTCTGTTCCCAGCAGTCGGCCCCGACCTCGGTGCCTAATCTGCGCAGTGTTATTCGAAGCGCGCGTGCCGACTCGCGTGACCTTTGTTTTGCACCTCGCGTATTTCGCAACCGCCCTGCCGATAAAGCAGGCCGCCCCTCGGCGCCGTTTGTTCGCAAGTCCAGAACGCCCATGTGCCGCCGCCTCTTGGTTACCAACCAGCGACCTGCGCTAGCGACCACCAGCGCTGTCTACGCGCGGCCGGTGGCGATTGGCAACGCAGGCAACCACAGTGGACATCGACATTCAAGCCGCCCAGACAAATCAGATGATGAACGCCAGGTGCGACGAACCACTAGCAACCCAGCTGGCGAACTCTCAACCGAATGGCGTTTGTTTCCTTGCGTGCAGGTTTGCTGTTTTTTGGGGGCGTGCGCTTTTTTTAGCGCATTTTTTTCAAGCATGTTTTTTTGTTGTTTTCATTTTTTAACGCGTTTTTTTCTTGGGATGTATTTGTGCTGCGGTGTTTTTTGTTGGTTACCTTTTTTTTGCTGTTCTTTTCGAAGAACTTTTCGGCTCCAAAGACAATCGGTTTCAAAACCACCTAAATCATTCGTGTGTTTGGTATGGTTTCGACCTGTGCACGCGCGCGTGCACGTCGTGGTATTTGGTGCGCCATGGATTATTGACACGGATCTTTTGACATGCGCGACTCCGTGCGCGTCGAAGTATCCGACAAGGAGACCAGGGGAATCGACACGGGTGTGGTTGGGATGGTATGGTGCCGTATGGAGCACAACAGTGAGCCCGACAAAGGTGTGACAATTGCCATACCCGAGGTGGTGTTGGTAATCTTGGGCTCAGTGTGCGGTAGATTTTTTCGAACATGGGGAATTACATTTGATCCCATCCGTGCTTGGGAAGGGTTTCGACGTGCGCGCGCGGCGGACGCGCGCGTGCGGCCCGCGTCGTATGACTTGGCACGGTTGGTGGGCGCGCGATGGTGGGCGAACGTTTTGCTTTCGCACGTGGCCCGCATGGTCTCGTTTGACAGAGTGGTTTGGCAGCCCATGGTCGTTGTACGATGTCAGCGAGTGCGCGCGCACCGAGTTGCAGCGGGTGCTACGTCCATGCGGAGGTAAGTCCATACGGATTGTGCGGTGTCCGTATGGGTTTCTTCCTTTGGGGCTCAGCCTCTTTCGATAGTTATGGCTGTCGGTGTTGGCCATGTGATGTTTTGTTGTGTTTGTAGCACCTGAGTTTTGTCAGTTCGGAATGGACGACCAAGGGTTCATTGCATGGTAGCCATGGTTGCCGATCGTCTGTTGACGTGCGCGCGCGGCAGCGCGCGCATAGGTGACCCATACTGCATCATTTGCCGCGAATTCTTCGTTCAAGCATTCTTAATATCAGCGCATGTACACCGCATACTGTTGTCTGATATGGATAACGAGAAAGGGTTGATACAGGCGTCGCGCAGGATGCTCTGAATTTGAAATGGAGATGAGCAGTGCGGCTGAAGCACATTCACATTGCAATGTGAAAGAGGCGGACCAGTATGTTTGGTTTCTGGAGGTGGTGGGGTCTGTTACCCGTTCAGAGTAGGCGCATGCGTGTACACATACATAAATGCAAGCATGCATGCATGCATGTATGCATACATACGTACATACGTACATGCGTACCTACACATACACACATCCATACATACATGCATGCATGCATTCATGCATACATACATGCTTACGCACACCTATATATTTATATACATATAGATAGATGCATACAACCCGAAGTGGAGTGTGCCACACTTCACATGCCGTCCTCCGCTGACATGCGGGCTCAAGTGCAAAGGCCCGGCACTTCGATGGCTTTCGTCTCTTCGCTGGCTGGCGAGGCGGTCCACAGCGCCGCGCAGGCCGCGCTGGTCTGGGCCTCGCGCGCGGAGTGCCCGGCCTGCTCCTGCGCGCCGTCGCTGGTGTGTGGGTTTGGGCTGGAGGCTGCCCGTGTGGACTGCCCACCGCAGGGCGCGAGGTGGCCACTGTCGGCCGTGCTCCTGGCGCTGGTGAGGGGCCTCGCGATTGGCGCCGCCGCCGTTCGGGTCCTCGCCCCTGGCCTCGCCAGCGGAGGGATCCCGCCGCGCCTGGGCAGGGATCCCGCCGCGCCTGGTGGGCAGCCTTGGGGCCCTCGTGCGCGCCCGCGCCTCGGTGCAGTACTGGCAGCAGCCGCTGCCGCAGCTGCTGGGCACCCTTCGCCCTGGCTGGGCTCGACGAGGGGGACTTCGTGCTGGTGCTCTACCTGGTCGCGGGGCCGCGGATCTGGCAGGCGAGCGCGCTTGATCATCGCGGTGTAGCCCACGCCGCCCTTCGGCACGGGAATCCT